TTTATTTTTTTTTTTGTATACTATCCATTTGATAGGATTCTTATCGACAAATATAGTTTCGTGATCTATTGAATTATAGATTTTTTAATTATTTGTATTTTTTATACTTGGGTTCCTTGACTAAGCCAGGAGTTTGCGCAATAGTAAAACGATTTCAATTTATATCAATTCAATTCAGTTAGCATTGACCCTCGATTAGAATCAAGATGTTCAGCATTTTGCCAGCCCTACAAATCGAGTGGCATTGCATAGAGATAATGCTCTCTATGTACACACATGTGCCCACATACGTATGCATTGGCAATTGTTTGCATAGAGTCAAAAACTAGAACTAGTTTCCTATGAGTATCCGCGCATAGTTTACCCCACCAACAACAATGAGTGACAAAAGCTAGCGCCAGTTTTAATGTGCCTTGCCTTTCCCTTTTTTTTTTTTTATATAGAATTCTATGTGTAGATGTGAGGCAACACTTCTTGGTAATTGTCTGAACTTATCTAACCCACTCGACAATCAAGCGAAAAGATCTATAAACGACATTCTGCCAAAAGGAAACTGTCAAAAGTCAATATAAAATACAACATAAGATCATACAAGATCATTTGTATATACATATATATGTGTATATCTGTTTATAGAGCTGCCTTATCGAAATGGGCTCTCGAGCTTTGGCCTTAACGAATTTTAACTGCCAATCTTTTGTGCAGTCACAATAAAACATATGAAACGCCAAACATCAAGTGTTYGTTGTTCGAATTTCAATTTCAATTTCGATTTCAATTCCTAATACCAATTCCCGAGCTGCGAGACGAATGACACCAAAATATTTGAGACGATTGCCGTGGGGCACGCGAGGCGGGAGGCCTGAGGCCTGAGGCGGGGTACAGTTCGCCAATGCTCTTAGACCGTTGATCGATTCGATCAGCATAAAACTGAAAGAATGAAAAAAAAAATAGAAAAAATCGCTTTAATTAGAACCAATTTAAAGCGTGGACCAATTTATCAGAAGCATTTTGAAAAGTAGTTGAAAACCAGTTGAGATCAACTTCAGCGCCATGTGCACACCTCGCTGAAGGGAGTGCGGCCACAGGGGACGCGCGGGCCGAAGGGGGCGTGGCTGGTTGTTGTTTACTTGCTTGGCAGTCCGGAGTCCGGACTCTATAGATCGAACTATAACTCAAACATTTGCCATTATAAGTGACTTATTATTCCAGCTAAACTGAATTGAAATTTATCTTTTACGCATTCGTTTTCCTTTGTCAATTGTCTGCGCTCTGATATGGTTTATTGTACGGCTAGGTGTGGACCCCAAACACCGGGTTCAAGTGCACACACCACATTGTTGTCGCTGTGTATATGTATATAAGTATATCAACTTGTGTTATTTGCAGCTGCTTGCGAGCTGAGCTAGAGGAATAACTAGAAATTGAAAGGGCGCAGGGGGCACGAACCCTCCAGGGCAATTTGTTTGATTCGAAGTCGGAGATTGAATGTCAGCAGCAGCTGTCCCAAATGGAATTCAAAGTGAACTTGAATACCAGCTGAAGGTGGAGCTTGGACAAGGCCTCGAATCCAGGTTTTGTTTCCTCGGTTGGCAGATAGAAAACATGCAATGTTTGCGGTTATAGATTTTCCCCAAGTTTAATGAAGCTTACATAAACTTCTAAAGTTCCCCTTGCTCCAATATAGCAGAGCTTTAGAAATTGTATTTGTAATTGTTTTGTATGTCAGCAATAATTACATATTAAGGATTTCAAAAATCTTATAGAACTGCCCTCGCCGTTTCTTTTGCATTACTATAAAAAAAGACTTACTAAATAACTACAGATGCCCAGAAATATGTTTGACAGTAATTTCCTCCTAGAAAGTCTATTTAGCATAGGTTAATAAACTTAAACGTTTCCGAAAACTCCATTTACTACTCTCGAAGGACCTACCTAAAGTTCAATATATGTTAATCATAGTCTTATTTGTTGTAAATACAACTTTATGTAATAACTTCTTAAACTACGCTCGCCTGTTCAGCTTTACACCTGGAAACAAGTTCATTATTTTGGTACTTGACAACCCAGAAGTCCGTCAAAAATTTTCCAATCATTAATTATCATTCCATTTCTGGCTAGCTTTTTGCTGCTGCCTTGTCATACACATCCGAGACGCTGAATGGGATTACGAACTGTATCAGAATCTTTATTGCCAACTGCGAGTGCTGCTCGCTGGACAGCTACAAAATATGTCTTGTGTCTAATTGCTTAACTTAGTAGCGATCATATTTCGCTTTGCTGGGCACACCCGGCGCTTGGCCATTGCTCGCCAAGCTTGGGCTTTGGCTTTGGCTCTGACTGTGACTCTGATTGTGGCTGTGGGTGGAGGCCAGCGTGTACACCTCATAATCGCTGATTGTAAAGTTGTAGTCACCAAAAAGTGTCACATGGGCGGCGTTGGGTCCATCGTAGGAGTGCGGCAGATTGGAGTAAGAATCGCTGTTCACATTGCAATTGCTCGATATGAGTAGATCGGCACCAGCGCCAAATGTGGGACCGCAACTGTGTGGATTATTAAAGAGATTAAATGAATATCTTGATCAACTGCATGACACTCGCCCCCACTTACTCTGGATGATAGCAGATGGCATATGGTTTCTTGACGATATCAAATTTGACCGGCTGCTCACCATTTGGCGGATTGAGCATAAACAGAAAAGCGCGCTCCGAGTGGATGTAGCCACCCTTGCGGCTTGTCTTAGCCCAGGCCACGTCCGTATAGCCACCACTAATCTCACCATGTGCACCTAGTCCAATCACAATGCAGTTTGCAACGCCATCGCAATAGCGATGAAATGCGCTGGAGCTGAAGCCATGAGTGGAGGCGCGAAACACCAAGCGCCAAGTTTGCTTAGGAACTCCAAACCAGCCGTTGAGCACGGCCTGCAGTGCTAGCTTATCGTTGCGTAAGATTTGGGAACCGGGAAACATATTTACAGCAAGCCGTGGCTGCAAGCGCTTGTCATTGTCGATGCAGTGCGTATTGGGATGCAGGGCAGCATAACGATAGCGCTCCAATGATAATTGCATGGGCACCGCACCAGTGGGCTCAACTTCTTCAGCAAACACCTGACTGTCGATGAGCAGAAGACGCACATGCCCCATAACGCCACTTAAGTGCTGACACACTCGAGCGCGCTCCTCTTCGGTCCAATGAGCTGTGGGCTGGGTGACGCCAGCCTGATACTTGGCCCAGGCTAAAACACATCTCCATACTTCCGCCTCCTCCAAGCAGAACTGGAAGAAAATACAATTTATACACTATGCAAAAGATGACTTGAAGCACCTACATAGTCGGATGATATGATTTTGATAAGCGCCTCCTTGGTGAGTGTGAGAAAGGAATTAGTTTTAACGCATTCGCTGGCATTCTCTCCTATGTAGATGATGCAGCGTTCCATAAACGAAGCCGCGCATTTGGCACCTGCAAATGAAAATAAAGACCATTATTATTTGAGCTTATTCAAAATCAAATTCACCTGGTATCCCATTCAAAAGTCGCAGGTTTCATATAAAATTTTGTTTATTTTATTGTTGGTTAACTTTTCCATTTACAGTTAATTCACTTAATCTTAATCTTCTTYAGAGAAATTAGTTTAAGAATTTTAGCTTAATCCTTAGATGGGCTAACATTCTGTATAAGCGTTATATTGTCCCCCTTGAGCATGATGCGTCCAAGATTTTTGCGTTGGCGCGTTTTAACATAAACTTCCTCGGCATCATCCAGTACCAGATTCATGTACTCGTCGAAGCCCACGATGTGGCCCTCGATACGCAGCGAAATGTTCTCGTATAGCCATACTTGGACGCGCGAACGGCTTTGCAGATAACGAAAGATCAGGTTGATGGGCTGCACCATCACCTTTTGCACCTTGGGATTGCCTTTGAATGACATTTTGGTGATATCTTATTGAATTTGGCTTTCGTTTTTACAAAATTTTCGCAGAAACGTTTGCTATTTTTTTTTTCTTCTGCTTTTGTTGCCGGCGTCTTTTCGCTGAAGCGATACTATCGACAATACAACCTCAGTCACTGGAAAACACGATAACATAGTAGCCGAGTATATCGATAGTTGATTACAAACCGGTTGCGTCAGAAGGTCTCAGTTGGAGAAGTTTTGAGAAGTTTTTGTCCAAAAATAAACATAAACATGGCTCACACTACCGTTAATAAGGGGGAAATTATGGACCAGGTGAAGCAACAGATTGCTGTTGCCAATGCACAAGAGTTGCTCACGCAGATGACCACAAAATGCTTTAAGAAGTGCGTTAACAAGCCTGGAACCTCGCTCGACGCATCGGAGCAGGTGAGCAGATGACCCAATACTGCAATATCGTAACTTTATTTTTGTTATTATTAAACAATATTTATTATATGCTAGAAATGCGTATCCTTGTGTATGGACCGCTTCATGGATTCATGGAATCTAATTTCTCGAACCTATGGCCAAAGGCTACAACGTGAACAATCAAATATGTGAGCTAGATACGCTGCTGATGTGGCGTACGACTGCACTTGGGGCGCTGTTCGTTGTTAATAGTTAGTTCTACTTAGTTCTACTCGTTGTATAAACAATAAAAACTAAAAAAACTAAATGTTTCATACATGTTTTGTATTTTTCTGATTAAATAAAACGTGCTACGGGATATCGGTAGCACCAACTTGCGATATGCAACATTTTGGTATTTTTGGTAACTTGCTATCGATAGTTTTACGACCAATATCAAGCAACAGCTGTTTTAATCGAAACGAGCGCAGCTGAGTGACAGAATTGTTTTTTTTCTTATCGAATAAGCGCGGTAAAGCAAAATTATAAATGTGAAATATAGGAGTGACACACCTGCTTTCTCGTGAATATCCATAACGGCAGTTAAAAAAGTGCACGCATTATCTACAGACAGTGTGGAAATAACGTGATCCTCGCAAGCAGCACGCAATTCAAATACGCCCATATCCTGGGCCAGTGTTAACATTTCAAAGACACGATAATCCTGCAGCATTAGCTATAAGAAATAAAATAATTAGGTAAGCATGATATAAACAGGTGCACTATGCATCTAGCCTACCTTTGCAGTGTAAACATACAATATGAACTGTCGGAACAATTCGGCATTAATATGCGGCAAACGTATTGCAGTCGGCGTCCCAGTGCCCGGAGCAGCGGGCGAAACTGTGCAGCCTGGTATGGGAATGCGACAGACCTCGCCACGCTTTGCTGTCTTAAAGCTCTTGCAGCTAGTATGAAAACATAAACTGTTAATTATTTAATCACTACAATGAGTGGCACGTGCGGTGGCCCCAAAATACCAACACGCAGTGTAGCATCCACCATAAAAGGAGAGTCAACCAATTGGTCTGACAATCTGGACATTAGAGATGAGCGCGTGACTGTTTTGATAATGCGAATAACTTAAGAATGGATAAACTAAATATACAATTTAAAAATTTATAGCATGACGAAGATATCAAACAATATATTGATCTACATATATTGATCATTTTAAATACTATAAATATTTTAGCTCCACACATGTTATTTTTGTCGCGTGCTATCTCCAGCTTCACGCTGCAATTTACGAACCGTGCCATGAGGATGCTTCTGTGTGCGTAAATCTTCTCATCATCTCGGCCGCAAATGAAGACCACATCCGCGCTGTCCTGATCCTCGCTCAGGCGCTGCAAATCCTCAATTAACTGTGGCAGTCCAGCCAATGCTGGATCGTTATGCGGCGAACGTGCGCTCATCTCTTACAATGTATCTCCTCTCGGCTTCAATTGGATTACTGCTTCTGTGTTATTGTCGTTGTTTTTGCTGTGCAAATATTTTGCTCTGTTTTGTTTATGTTTTCACTTCCACGTTCCGCTTTGCCTACGCGCCTGCGCTCAGAAGAGAGCGAAACCGGTTTCACCTGAAAATGCTTAAAGGCAAAACGAAACAACAAAAAACAAAGTAAAATATCCCACGCCACGAACTAAAATTGAGTCGAGAAAAACAATTAGACGGTAGTTTAGATTGTTTTTGTACTGGTTTTTACTTGACTGAATAGCTTTAATTTATATTTCGCAACATTTCTAGTTAATTTCCTGTTATTTAATTTAAATTCTTTTCACTTGTTTGCAGCTAACAATAAATTTTCATTCATGCGCACGCGCCGCGTTTCGTTTCGTTAGCTCGTTCAGACTGAAGAAGAGGCTGGCCGAGACGCTACGATCACGGCTCACCGTTAAGTCGGGCCCTTGGCCCTCTTCTTCTTAGCGGATTCTGGAGCGTTGTTTTCTTACTTTCTCTTAGGTCACTCGAAGAGTAAGAGAGTAAGGAGAGACAGTGAAGAAGTTTATAATCGGTGCAACAGGTAAGTGAATCCTAAAGGAAATTTTAATTATTGATAAGCTATTGATATAGAATGCATCCTTATATATAAAAAAAGGAATATTCAAAATTAAAAAGTTATGTATATTCTATATATACAACACTGAAATCATTTGCAAAATACGTTATTCGCTCCGTTTTTAAAAAGGCAATTCTAATAGCGCCATCTAGTTATTTTATATGTAAGCTCATAGAAATTCCCAGGTATTAAAGTGAGCTGAGGTTTGTGAACACACTAGCTATTACGTGAACCTACAACTTGCCTTATATTTCAGTCGCCATCTGACGGCAAGTAGCCCGATATTTTCATTGTCATATAGGTTTGTGTTCATGCTAAATTATCGTGTGCTGCCTAAGAGTATGCTACATTAAAATAGAAAACATGTTAAAGTAGCTGCCTGAATGTACGCAACACTTTCTTTTCTAATGCACATCAAAATGCAAATGAAAACTCTTTCAATATTTTATGTTTTCAAATATTTATTTATGCATAATATTTACCATTTGTTTTTTTTTTTTTTTTTTTTGTGTTTTGTCTTGACTTTACATATGTAATAAATTTTTTTTTTAGGTATTTTTAATCTTATATAATTTTTTGTTGGTTTTTATTTTATTTGTTGCTGCACTACTTAAATATGAAACGTTGAAGTCAAATTTTGTTGTTGTTGTTTCTTGCTGTCCTTTAACTGTTTAATTTGATTAAACTTTTACTTTTTCTTATTTTGGTTTTTTATTTTTATTTTGTTTTTTAAATCGCGTTGCGGCTGCATTTTTGTTTTATTTTGCTCCACAATTTGTACATTTTATTTGCATTCTGAATGTCACAATAAATATTTAAATTATATTAATAATAATAATGTTTATATGTATATATTGACAAGACGCGGATTTCTGTATTTGTTTTTGCGTATTTGTTTATAACTAATGCCTTTAACTGTTGCTATTTTTTCATCTTAAATTTTTGTAAACAATATTTTTGTTTAGTTTTTTAAGCAGTTATTATTTTTTATTGTAAAAATTTGTTTTTTAATAAAATGATTGTTTTTTAAGTTTTCTTTTATTTTTAATTTGGGTGTTTTTTTTTTTTTACTTTTTTTATTTTTATAAAAAAAAACTTCTTTGGATTATTAGCAAAATAAAAATTATACAAAAAAGTGTTTTTTATTATCCTTTTTTTTTTTAATTTGGTTAGTTCGTAATTTGTAAAATTTGGCCTTTTATATGTAAAAAATCTGCTGAAAACCGTTTTTGATTAACCATTATTTTTTGTTTTAATTTTTTTTTTGAATTTATATTATTTTTTTGCTTACACAGGCCAACATAATTTGGTAAACAAAAATTAAACTCAGGTTGTTAGGAAGAGTTATTTATTTTTTTTTTACTAAAAGTTAATGTTATTTTCTTTTAGTCTTTCATAATTGAAGTAAAAAAAATTTGAAACAAATTAGAAATTCCACATTTCCTTCCAATATTTGTTTAGTAATTTTCCTCAAATTTACGTTGACCTGTGTACATTTTATTGCTGGTTCTGTGGGAAGTTTTTTGTTTGTTTGCGTGTTCCTTTTTCTTCTTCTTTTTCTAAATGAAAAATAAAAAATAATGAATGTACAATAAATGGATTTTTTGTTTTTTGTTGTTTTTATTTACTTTTGCATAGCAATTTGTAATTAATTTTTTTCGTTTCTTTATTTTTTTGCGTATAATTTAAATAACTTTTAAATTTGCATAACAATTGTTCCTTTTGTTTTATTTTGTTTAAGTTATTAAACGTTAAATGTATGTTTTGTTTTTTGTTGTTTTTATTTACTTTTGCATAGCAATTTGTAATTAATTTTTTTCGTTTCTTTATTTTTTTGCGTATAATTTAAATAACTTTTAAATTTGCATAACAATTGTTCCTTTTGTTTTATTTTGTTTAAGTTATTAAACGTTAAATGTATGT